GGACGAAAACTCTGTTAGTGGGGGAGAGTTGTAACACCCCAGTTTCGATTATTTGATTTATTTAAATTTGGGAAATTATTTTATTAGAATTAATAAAATAAAAAGGAATTATTTACTTTGAAATATGGAGGAAAATAAAAGAAATAATAATATGCTGAGTTTTAAGTTATTGGGCTTGGATGTTGTTAGTAAAGAGTGGGGGTGCAAAAGAAGTAAAGTTATGTTTTGGAACTCAAGTTAGTTTTCTCATTTTTTCACGATAAACAGAAGTTGGGAATTTGGGGAAATAGAGCTCTGAAGGTACGAAGAACGAAGAACATCACTCAAAAAGTTCAAAGCTGCTATTGATAAGGTAAGGGGGGCTATTATTCGGTTTACCTTTGTTTATGGGTTTATGTATGGTTAATTTAGATAATCGTAGGGAGAACCCCAATTGTTAGATGTTACTAGGAATCGGTACCCTTAGGATTGAACCTTGTTAGAAAAGGGTTAGGTTCCCAATTTTTATGAATCGATTAGGAATTTTAGGTTCCAAATGGTGGATTGGGAGTATAACTGCATGATCGTGAATTTACCTTAGAGGTTTAGGAATAACCTTAATGTTGTCAGAACTTCCCCAAAAAGGGACGAGTAATCACTGTTAAGGTTACTATAATAATTGTTGGTAATTATGAAATGGATGTGTGCTTTGAGTTGTGAAATATCGATGTCGTTAGGTACCGAAATGCGCGTTTAGCCGGCATTTTTCCCGCGTTTGGCTGCTGTTTTCTGAGCTGCTGCAGATACAGGAAATTTCTGTACGCGCTCAGCAACACGGGCCGTGTTGCACAACACGGACCGTGTTGCACAACACGGGCACCCGTGTTGCACAACACGGGCACCCGTGTTGCTCTTCTGGTTGTCCTTCTGGTTATACAACACGGGCCGTGTTGCACAACACGGGCACCCGTGTTGCTCCCCCTGTACTGATAAGGATGCTGTGTTTTTCTTTTTCTGAATATGTTACAACACGGGCCGTGTTGCACAACACGGGCACCCGTGTTGCTCTTCTGTGTTGCCCAACACGGGCCGTGTTGTACGACACGGGCACCCGTGTTAAGGCTACTGTGTTGATTTTTCTGAACTTTGTTTTCAGTGCCTGATTTTGGATTTTATTGCCATGCTTTTGGATAATGTTATCGAGCGTGAATTTATAATATGACTTGATATGATTGATGTTTAAATAGTATGCTGAGTGATTACATGCCATCCATATCTTGTTATGATTTGATGTTGTTGATGTGCATGATATGTTGATTGATGTTCATAGTATGCTGAGTGTTACATACTTACATATCATGTTGCATTTGTTAATTCCCATTGTGTGGAATTAACATGGTGGCCAATATACGTGTCCGCGATTTAATGGAACGTTGAGGTGGTAGCCGTGTCCGCGATATAATGGAACGGTGAGATATCCGTGACCCGAGATTTAATGGGGCGGTATAGTGGTACCACATGCATGGGTGTGTTGCATTACCTTGAATATAACATGAATGGATGATTTTTCCAATGTTGTATTTGATTGTTTGTATGCACGTATGATTGCTATATGGTTGACGATGTTTGATGATTATTTGCAATATGAAAAGCAATGTATCATGGGTACATGAATTGTAAAGGTTTTTGGTAAACGATGAAATATGCTAATTATTGGGTGATGCTTATGATTTCCTGAATTGATTGTTATGAACGTATAATCAAATGTATAATTGAGATGCTCACCCTTACTGTTGAATATTTCAGATTGAGGAGCTTCGTTCAGGTGCTTGGCGAAGGCTTGTCGTTCTAGTTTACTTTCGTTTTAGTATTGTCCGGGTCATGCTCTGATAGTTGTAACTCCGGGAACGTTGTTTGTCGAGCTGTTTTAATCAGACTCGTTTAATTTCCTTATGTTTTGTTATAATATGATGTTGATATTTTCCAGGTGTTAATCCCTGATGATTGGAAATATTATAACTTTGGTTTTATTAAATAAATTATTCCGCTGTGTAAACATGTATGAGTTACTACTAAGATTTTGCATGACAGGAATTTGTGTTATTTAAAGAGAATTGTAGCATCCTCGATTATGCATGTACTCTGAAATTATGATTTTTATAATTGCGAAAATTTATTCGGGGTTTTTAGAGGGTGTTACAGTCAGGTATTCAACACTTTCTAACTCTGACACTTTCTTGCTCATTCCGCAACTTACTTTGGCATTGGAGTGTCTTGCAAGTACCCCCTCCCACCTCACTCAACTTTTACTCGAGCCAGCTGTGACAGTCCATTCTGATCAGGTACGATCAATATATATATATATATATATATATATATATATATATATATATATATATATATATATATATATATATATATATATATATATCACATTTTAAAATTCTCCTCGGGCCTCGATATGTTTTGGGTCGGCCCTGATTATATGAAGATAAGGGTGATGCTAAAATCATTTGTTATTCAGATGCAGACTGGGCAGGATCAACGTCGGATATGAGATCTACTTTTGGATATTGTGTTTTTATTGAAGCTGAATATGGTGCTATGCCAGCAGCCTCAAAAGAACTTGCATGACTTAAGAATTTGCTCTCAGAACTTAAGTTCGGTAACCTTCAGACCACAAAACTCATATGCGAAAATCAAGCGGCACTTCACATTGCGTACAATCCAGTTTTCCATGAGTGGATCAAATACATAGAAATAGATTGTCACTATGTAAGAGAAAAGGTACTGTCAGGAGAAATAACTATAGAATTTTTCAAATCTGAAGATCAATTGACTGATATGTTTACCAAGTCTCTCAATGATTCTCGAGTGAATTATATTTGCAACAAACTCGAATCATATAATATATACGATCTGACTTGAGGAGGAGTGTTAAGAATCTGTTATAAATCAATTAGTATTGATTGATATTCAATTAGTAATTAGTGTAATTGATATTGTTTCCTATTGTATATTTTCTATTTGCATATAAATATTCACCATATGTGATCGTATTCGACACACAGAGATATAATTACAGCAGAAGACATGCATCTCCCTAATATTAAAATGGTCATTTTCCTATCAAATTCCACGATAAACTACTCTTCCCTATCTTTCCTTATATATTCTAAACATATAATAAGTAACAATTACTCACTAATTCTCTTATTAATTTTATAACAGTTAAAAAACTGAAGAGGTATAACAATGTGTTGTCCCTAAAGATTCATCATGTCCTCATGGTGAAGAGTAAAATAAGTGTCCACTAGAAATCCAAAACATGAAGTAGAGTGACAGAGTAAGGTGAAAAATGGTAACAAATGCTTGGATTATACAGTGTGTTTTGATAGGTATGTTTGACCCAAAATCATAGCATGACAATAATAGGTATCAATAGGTTGGATCAAACCACCAAGAATTTGTCAGGATCTAGTGGCTTCAGCAGGTGTGGCAGTAGTCTGTCCAACATGAGTGAAGTCCATCTCTTCGGTAGTTGTTCTAACTAGTCTGACCTCCAATTAGAACACGATACTCGCGCCATGCACATCAAAGTGTCTGGCGATACCAAGAAATTCACAAGAATCTGCCTTTCTCTCTTGTCAATGTTCCACAGTGACATTCCCAAGGAAATTTTCTGTATCTCTTTCTACTTTTGTCGTTTCTACCTTTTTCGTTATTTTTCTCTTCTGTTGTCTGAATGAGAATAGAATTTCCTTGAGCAGTTTCTTCTTGTTGAAGGTTGAATGTGTGAGGCCTGAATAAATCCATTTCCAATCATCAGATATATGAAGAATGTCTCAATATGCTCTTCCTTAAAATGCCAAAGTAGTCCAACGTGAACCGTTCGCCAACCCACTTTTACATGGCATTGACTCCACCACTGCCACCATATGAGAGTACGGGTTCTCAAGAATTTCATTGTCTCTTGTAACTTCTCACTCTTCTGTCTTTCCATAACATCAAATTGTTTCTCAATACAAATCAACCACCAATATACATCATCATTGTCGTCAAACTGTGGCATGTCCGTTTTCCTTCTTCCGTGATTTTCTTGTCTCGGATCATAACTGCTTTGATGCTAGTTGATAGAAACCAATTGATTTAGAATAAGAGATAGGGAAAATCTCTTTGATTATAGAATGATATTGCAAATATTCGAGGGGTTGTACCTCCTAATGCCTAATCCAATTTTTAAGTTGCAGAAGGGTCTCTAGGGGTTGAAACAGACAAACATGAAATGGTATGAGATATTAGCACACATTTTGAAACAAAAAGGATACCACCAATCAACATCTGATTACTCTTTCTCCGCCTTCATACAAGAAGATGAATTCACTGTCCTATTAGTATATGTTAATGACATTATACTAGTTAGAACCTCACTTAATGAATTCAAAAGGATAAAGGGTATTTTGGATTACAACTTCAAAATTAGAGATTGTCATTTGGCGAGAAAAGGTTCAAAAGGGGTGTCCTAAGACTACTACATATACCCACACAAGAGCAGTTAGCTGATTTTTTTAACAAAGGCCTTAGCTCTTCCAAAGTTTAATTCATTTACCATGGTCAAACTTGTGGGAGTGTGTTGAATAACAAAGAAAAAAGTGAAACATCATATGGAAAGAGAATATGGTGATCACAAGTAACTTCCATCACAAGCAATCAGTAGTCAAGGCCTTTAAGGCTTCCAAATTGTCATAACAGCTTTTTGAATTCAGTTAGAAAAGTTAGTTATAATTCCATCATATCTCTTTAGATTTGGCAATGATGAACTTGTTATTCTCAATAACTAATTTATAACTAACTATTATATCTCTAATAATGTGAATTATCACTAAAATAGACTGATATTTCATTAAATAGATATTGGTCTCCTACAAACAAGATAAGGAAATAAAAATTCGTAGAAGTTTGCAGCATCTATATTTATACATCACTGATTTTTCATGGAAATGGTAACTACTACTACTATATTAGTACAGAGAGTTGTAGGTGCAACACGTAGCAGCAATGGATGAGATGCAGATGAGTAGTGCAGGGAGTAGAGTAAGATTCAGTAGTTTACTTTCACTGAAATACCCAACAATTGTTATCGTACCGTCTGCAATAACTCGAGCTAGAGTTCCCGCTTCCGTTGAAAGTAAACCTCCATTAAAGGTTCCACGAGAAAGCCGCGATGACATCATTTTCGATAGAAGTGAAAGGTTAACTCCTGGATTGTTCATGCAAAAACAATAATATTAAACCATGTTACTCAAGGAGAAAACTTCAGGGTATTATGAGAATATATTACCTTCAAGAACTTCAGCAGAGACAAATGTGATAAGGGCTGATCCAACATATTGAGTTACTGAATAAGGGATTAATGTATGGAAGCTTAGGAGAAGTCCAATGCAGACCATGATTTCTGATGTTAGTAGAACTTGCCTGCAAGTACAAGCCAACCAGCAAGTAAAGATCTAATATGAATTTGTAGCTAGGATAAAAAAGCACGCCTATTACCCCTTCAGGAAACGGTTTTTAAGCCGTTGTCTAAAGTCAAAAATGTTGTAGTAATATTATAAACTTAAAGGTCTACCTTTCTTCAAAAATGTTGCTGATGTAGCTTCCGATAATAATATTCACGGGAAGGACAGTAAGACCAAGACATGCAAGGAAAATGGCTACTTTGGTTGTCGACCAAATAAAATAGTGTTCTGTTATAAGGCTTGATTCAGCAAGCAATATCTCCATTGCATACTTGAGCATAAAATACACAAACAATTGAACCTAGTAAAAGTATTCATAGTTAGCGCAAAAGATTGAATCAGACTTCAAATAATTGAAGAAAATTAAGAAAGAATGAAGATTCGTAATAGGTTCCTTACCTTTACTGATGGTGTAAGCAACTTATAAGCCAGTGCAATAGAAGTAACAGGTTTCTGAGATTCAGTTTGGTCATAAACTTCTTCGTCATCGTCTTTTTCTTCATCTACATCTACATCATGCTCTTTTGCTTCTGAATACATTAGTAATGGTTGTGTAGGACTATTCTCTACTGCAATATGCACTGCTTGTTCTCCTATATGCGTTTAGAGAACCGTAAATAAAAGTAATACCATATAAAAAATGAATACAAAGAAACTTGGTGAGATATATATACCAGTTTCTGCTTCATAAGCCCAAAGATTTTCTGGTTCCTTAAAACAAGTGCACAACCAAAGTAGATAAACGAGCCACGCAACAGCCATTACCCATCCAGGTAGCGTGTCTTGGTTCATTGTCAAGTTGTAAATCCTAAACTCAGTCTGTAACAAACAAGCAATAGCTGGACCACAAGCCATTCCAAGAGCACTTGCACTAACAAAACCTGCTGATGCTTGCATCCGAAGTTTCACCGGCACACAGTCGCTGATATAACGCCTATTCACAGCCCTTGCAGAGCCTAGGCCGCAGAAAAGTCGTCCCATAAGAAGAACTACTACTGAATTAAGATCATAGGCCAATGCATACATGACGTTTCCGATTAGAAGAACAATGGTACTGAATATAAGTGGTTTTAGATACGATCGGTTTGACCACGCGCTGAAATAAACAGAAGCAAACACCTGTGCAACAGCCATTGAACCGATGACGACGCCACAAACACTTGCAGCAGCTCCGAGGTTCAAAGAGTAGTTGTCGGCCGTAGGTACAACGATGTAAGTATTGACCATATACAGAAATGTGCTTGCCAAGTTCAAGAGAAGTGACATAAAATGATATCTTTCATCAATAGTGTTTTCTTCAGACGGAGATGGTGATAGTTCCTCTTGCTGCATGATAAAAGCATGTCTTCCCAAAAACTGAAGGAAACTTGTTGAGTTGGATAATTTGTCTGTCGCTGCTTTGATAGATACAAGAATTGGATCCTTCAAGAAAAAGTCAAAAGGAAATCCTCATCAAGTGATTGAAGAATACCAACCATAATAGTATAATGTAAAGAATGGATCAAGAACTAACTTGATGCGCATAAGAAGGTTGGTCATATATAGAAATGTAGCTTTCTTGACACTTTTGTAAATCATGAATGTCTGCAAGATTATGAGATAAGACTCCCACAACAGCACCAATTCCCTGCAAAGAAACTTTTACATGATATCAAAGATGATACAAAATACTACTATACATTTTGCAGCAGTAGTATAATAAAACACTGGACTCAGGCTCAGGTCCGTCTTTGAGGGTGTGTAAGATAGGTTAAAGCACATGGCCTCAAATTTTCCGCGGTTAAATAGAGCTAAATAGAGCTCATAATAGAGTCGTTACGATTAAACCATGACTAAATAGAGTCCTTAATTGTTTTATCATAGTTGAATCGTAGTTAACTTACATTTACACAGGACCTCTAAAAACTTTAGACGATCCTAAACATTAACCAGAATATGTATCAAGGTTAGAAACATTACCACGTGCCTTAGAACCTGTCTTAGCTGAGAATAAGGATGATTTGCGCGAGTCTTGACATAATAATTGGCAAATTTATAGCCGAATCGTTTATCAAACTTTTTCAAGATCTTTCTCAAACCAGTAGCATTCATTTCCACAAAATAAAGAAGCTTTAGTAGATCTCTTCCAACTTCTCTATACGCTTCTTGGACATCAGATATCTTTGAATAATCTGGCTGCTGTACAAGACTTTGGTGATCTTCTCCAATACGCGTAAGCCTCCCCGCCAGAACTCCTTGTTGCTCAAGCAGAAACAAAACAATTTTTTCTATCTGAAAAAAGCAAAGAAAGACTTAAAAAGAAATCTCAAGTACTTATTGCCTATGTAACACGGAAGCAGACACGAACACCAGATACGACACCAACATTAACAACAACACTGACACCAAATATATCCTTATATATATTGACCTGATTGTCTAGAAGCAATGAAAAGTCGCGGAGTACATTATGGTGATCTTGAGCTCCAACCTCAATTTGTTCGGTATATCTCTTGACTTTCTTCTTCATAAACTTATAGTTAATGTAGTATCTGGAAAAAACAAAGTTGAAGAATGTGTTACATGAAATAAAATATTTCTGACTTTCGTACAACCATGAAAATTGTAATACCCTTTCCATTCTTGAATCTGTGATTCTCTCAACTTTTTGCCAAAAGCAACCATATTCCAGATAGAAAAAAGAATGAGTGCACTGCAACAAAACCAAGAAGAGGCCTTTTAAGATTATAATACAATGCTTCAGAACAACAATTTCAAACTAATAAAGCAGAAACGTTGTAACCTTGTAGTAATAATTGGGCGAATCTTTGTTTCTTTGTTCCTTGAGGTTAAAAGTTCAGTTGGCAAGGTACAGGACTTTTATGGTAAGAATATGATGGATTTTGGGAGCTGAAAACGGCACATGCATGAAGAATTGAGAAAATCAAAAAGGTGGAATGAAAAAGTGGTAAATATGCATGTGGATGATGAAAAGGGTATTTGGTGTATGCAAAAGTGAGTGTTTGTTTTGCTTAGTAGTGACAGTTGATGTAATAACAAAGTAAGGAAAGAACGAGTATGTAGGCGCATGTGTGATGTGATGTCTTTTGAAGGTTGGTGTTAACCGCAATCAACATAGCCTGGTGAGTAGGAGAAGGATCTCTCTTACAACATGACACCTAGCAATTTATATAACATAATTGAATAACCATAAAAGTAAGTGTTTGTATTATTTTAGTAATAATCACCAAAAATTCACACACACAAGTGTCTATCTGTCGTAAGTGTTAGGATTCAAACTCAGATGATGACGTCCAATTTAATAGTATAGACTTCTAACGATTGAGTTAGGATTTGAGAAAAGGTTTTTACATCAGGTATCAAAATATATGATGTAAAAAATAAAATTAAAAACATTTTACATCAGGTATTTATTTGCAATGATATAAATAATATGAAAAAATATATTTTTCGCTATCTATTACATCGGGCCATTTAATCCACCGACGTAAAAGGTTTCTTGAAAAAAACACGGTGGCATTTTTGTAAATAAGAAACCAGGTGGCAGAATTGTAAATAAAAAATTGGTCAGATATTACATCGGTCCCTGCAGTCCACCGATGTAAAAAGTCCATGGCAGATTGGTAATATAAAAAATATATTAAAAACCTTACATCGGGGCATTCTAAAAATCGATATAAAAAAACATCAACGCCCGAACCTTACATCGGACCGTTCTTTAAACCGATGTAAAAAACTACCTTACATCGGGCCTTCTGTAAACCAATGTAAAAAACATCAGGGCCAGAACCTTGCATCGGGCTAGTCTAAAAACCGATGTAAAAATATCAACCGCCCGAACCCTTACATCGGGCCGAGGGTTGCACCGATGTAAAAACATATATATATATATATATATATATATATATATATATATATATATATATATATATATATATATATATATATAATGTTCAACTAACCCCTAAATGCAAATTATTTCGTCACTGTTCAACTTCTCTCGCCTACGCCGCCGTTCCGCCCCCGTATCGCCCACACCGCTCTGCCGTCTCGCCTACGCCGCTCCTCACAGATTTCACGTCTCCTCGCCGCCGGCTGCACGAAGACATCCTCCGTCGTCCATTCGTCGTCCGTTTCGCCGTCCGTTCACCGTCTGTTCGTCGTCTTCGAAACATCCTCCGTCGTCCAACTACGATTCCGGTACGAAACTTTTTATTTTGTTCAACTTCATTGTATATCTAGGAATTGGTTGAAAGTTTATATAGAATTATTTCCAAGATGTTGGCTTCTAGGTTGAAGAGGGTCATGGATAAGTTGATATCTCAATGTCAAGCAACTTTTATATTCCAAAGACAAATATTGGTGTTTTAGTTTCTAAGAGTTATATATACAAAAAAGTTTTTAAGATATTCTTGTTTCTTTGTTTGTTAGTGAGATTCATTATAAAAAATTAGAAGTACATAGAAAAATAATTAGAAGATTATACTATGAATCTATTACTTTGTTCATATATGTTTTTTAATTACTAAAGAGTTTATTATTATTAGAGAGATTAATTAAGTCTAATTAGTTATAAATAGTATATATTTTGTATAAAGTTAAGAATATAGTACATGTTGTGTATAATTAGTCATTCTTTTTCATTAGAGAAATTGTCTATTTAGAAACCTCCGAAAAAAGCGTTAATGGTCCTCTCAGAAACACACAATTTATCTTTAACCTATCAAACTTAATAGAGTTATCACCTTGCCATTGAAATTTGATTCTATTTTTCTTTCTCCGCGAAGCAGCGCAACTTGCAATCTCGGAATCTCCGTGAAGTAGCGCAGCCGCGGGCACACCGTTCATCAGACCTTCCTCCGTGTGAACATAGTTATGGATCGTAGTTGGATGAGAGCTAATCGATTAAGTGACGAGTACGAACATGGAGTGGTGGAATTTCTACAGTTTGTTGAAAGTAATGCTGAAAAAAATCTTCCTACGCTTTTTCTCTGTCCATGTGTTCGTTGTGCAAATAAAGAACCAAAATATAGTAAGAAAGAAATCATGGATCATCTAATTTGTGTAGGAATTTGTCAAAGTTATACATAATGGATATGGCACGGTGAAGTAGTAGCAAAGTTAAACGTGTCTCAAAGAGATGATGTTAGTGTAGAAATGGATGATCGTCTAGAAGACATGATGTGTGATATTGGACAAGATTCGTTTAAGAGGACACATATGTATGATACTATATGCAGTGACAAGGATAAACCATTGTACCCGGGATGCAAAAAATTTACATGTCTGTCAGCCGTGTTAAAATTATTTAATCTGAAGGCAAAGAATGGATGGAGTGACAAAAGTTTTACCGAGTTGCTTGAATTGTTGACCGAAATGCTTCCGGAAGGTAATGTAATGCCAAGTCGTTATTACGAGGCAAAGAAAATATTGTGTCTGATGGGTTTGGAGTATGAAAAGATACATGCATGTCCTAATGATTGCATATTATACAGAAAAGAATATTTAAACTATAATCATTGTCCGAAGTGCAAGGCTTCACGCTACAAAAAGAAAAATGGTGAATCAATTGATGATGAGGTGGTCAAAAAGGGTCCTCCTGCGAAAGTTACGTGATGAAAACAGAGTGTGCCACTTACTACCATTAATTCATGGGTAAGAATTTTTATGAAATTTTGTTTTATATTATTTAATTTTGATAACATATATATTTTATGTGACTTTTCTGTTTCCACACGCACGTACAAGAGACATTGGCAATTAATAGTCATGTGTCCAAGAGACAATTTAGTTGTCGTATTTTGTTCACTTCATTGGGAAATTGACCAGAACACAAAGAAAATTATTACAAAGTAAGTTTATCTTTCATGTGACTTTCATTGGCAACTAATAGTTATGTGATTTTTCATTGGCGAGTAAATTTAGTTATGTGATGTTTATCTTTCTATATTAGTTCTTTTGGGATTCATCAAATGGCAAATGGAAATAGAAAAAAGGCTACATGGCTTCATCCCAATGTAAGTGTGATGTAAATTGTAATTCTATAGTTAAATTTATGATAAATATTCACTAATTATGTCATTCAATTGTAGACAAGCCAACAACATAACTCTAATGATTATGGATACTATGTGATGAAAAATATGTTGGATATTGTCTCTGCTAATATAACCGAGAATTGGATGCAGGTACTAAAAATAACTTTACTTTGTTATTTACTTTTTGTTTTTCGACTTAATATAATTTTTTTTAAAATAACTCTATATTGTTATATTTATGTATTATAGGTATTTGATGATTCAACAGAATTAACACAAGATGATTTGTATGATTTGCGACTCCGTTGGACAAAATATTTATTTGAGTTATAGCAAAATTAAGTTTATCTTGGTGAGTTTTATAGAATTGTCTAAGTTGTGGTTTTTGCACATAATTGTTATTATTGAGTTTTTGCACATTACATGTGGTTTTTGCACATGTATTGAGTTTCTTGATTTTTTTTGCTGATGTTAATTGTTATTATTTATTGTCAGGCAATGTGATTTTGGGGTTGTCTACCGAAACTATAACTCATCTATTTGTGGATTTTATATTGGTAATTCAAGTTTGGAAAAAGACTTATAAATAGTTGAATATTTTTGTATGTTTTGTGAAGAATATGTAATTGTAAGTTTGTTGTGAGTTTGTTTGTTGTGATACAATACAAGTTTGCAATACAATTGTTCAATTTATTGTGAAAAATATGAAAACATCGACCTAGATGTGGTCTATGTGATGTTGGAAAGCTATGAAATCTATATAGCGACATAAATATAGTTTGTGTGATATTGGAAAAATATGAAAAAATAGGTATAAATTATTTTTGTACAGAAAAACATCCAAAAAATAAATAATTTATTCTCAAAAAATTTCATACATTTTACATCGGTTATTACTCTCAACTGATGTAAAAACTTTCAAAACTGTATATATTACGTCGGGTTTATATTATAACCGATGTAAAAAAGGGACTTTTTACATCGCTCCACACCTTAAACCGATGTAAAAAAGTTGCGTCAATTTTTTTAAAATAATGTTATAACTGTTTTTTACATCATTCTTAGATCACAACCGATGTAAAAAAGAGACATTTTACATTGGTCCAAACGTTGAACCGATGTAAAAAGTTGCATCAATTTTTTTAAAATAATGTTATAATTGTTTTTTACATCAGTCTTAGATCACAACCGATATAAAAAAAAGACTTTTTACATCGGACCCAGAACCGATATAAAAAGTACCTGATTTACTATATCGTCTGACTTTATATCGAACCCAAAACCGATATAAAAAGTCAGTTTCACCTAATGTAAAAAGTCATTTCTGCACTAGTATATTATTATTAACAATGTTATAAAAGTAAGTAAATTTTTAAATATTTTTGCTAAATCTAAAGTATATATATGCTTTAAGATTTTTTTTTTGTCTTCTCCAAGCAGCTCACAGTGTGTGTCGGTTACTCAGAATGTTTCTTAAATAAAAAATTGAGTAAACAAGATAATGCCACATTTCTTAGTCTAAAACTCAGAAATCACGATGTGCTGCCATGGCATCGTCCTTTCTTGTTGTTGGCCTACTGCCTTCCTCACCGCTCTCACCTGTTGTAGTTCATGATGTATTGCCATGCTTTTATATAGGTGTTCATTTGGGTGAATCTCAATTTGTAGCAGAGCCAGAAATTAAAATTAAAAACAAAAGAGCGTAATAACTGTTTAAAATTAAAAACAGATAGACTGATATAGAAAATTGTTTTCAAAAATAATTTTGTAAAACTAAACTACCAAATAAATTTTATGATTTTTAGATTTCAAAAATTAAAACACAATTTTACAAAACCAAGCTAGAGATTATAATACTGAAGATTTAAAAAAAAGAATTAAACTAAAATTAAATAAAATAAAATGTAAAACATAATTAAAATATTTATAAAAAAAACTTGATACATATGCAATTTTAATGTAAGATAATTTTACACTAATTCTTTAAAAACTTGTATGATTAGCATCAATTTAAAAGTATGAGTTTTTTTATAGTGTATAAAATTAATTTTGCTAGATTTTATATTTGTTAAACATTTTTTAATAGTCTAAATTAGTTTTATGTTTTATTGTTAATTTTTAATTGAGTATCAGGATCTTAAAAATTGTATTCATTTTAAAGTAAATTATTGTTAATAAATGATATAGCATTTTATGAATGGATGATGGATAGATAATTAATTAAATTCTAAATTACATTATTAATGATGTTTTTATTTAAAAGTTAAATTTTGAACAACAAATTATCTCACAATTTAAAAAAAAAATTATTTTAGAAACCGAGTATCTTATGTATAATTGTTGAGACTAATTACAATAGATGATAAAAAAAAAAAATTTAAGAAAAGTTAACAATATGTTGTCTGTTTATAATTGAATTCGAATTCAAAATCTCTTATAAAATAGCTTTTATTATCTTATCCAAATATTCTTTGATATAGTTTTTAAAAGTTAAGCTTCTTATAAGAGAGTGTATTAAGTGTATGATTGGTTTGAATTCTAAAAATGGTAAAAGCATTTTAAGAATGCATAATTGATTGTGTAATGATTTTAATATTTTTGGTTTTTTTAAAGTAGAATTGGTTTTGCTTTTTTAGAATTAATTTTACTTAAAATTATAATTTATAACTTCTATTTTCATAATTGATTTTGAGTGATTTTTAACTTATTTTTCAACTCATTTTTACATAAATATATTCAAATATAAATGAATTCTACTAAACTCAATTCTATTAAAATCAATTAAACCAAATTCAATTTTGTAAAAATTAATTATATTCACGGTCAATCCAAACACAAAAAAGAAAAGTACAGCTGATTTATGTTGGACCATGACAATGAGGAGAATTTATCTTGTCACCCCCCAAATTATACATGTCATCCCCTAAATCTATGAAAAGACCAAAATGTCCAACCAATTTCCATTACCACATTTTCACAAATTTACCGGAAGAATCGAATTTTTCAACTTTTTTGACGATATCGGAAATTTCGAAGGCATATCGGAAATTCGGCGAAAACAAGTAAGATTTTCGGTATATTTTGTGAATTTTTCGGTATATTGTATCGGAAATTTTGACTTTTTCGATATTTTTGTACCGGAAATTTCAAAATTTTCGATATTATCATTTACCAATATTAGCGGAAATTTTGAAATTTTTGGTGCCTGTTATCATACCGGAAATTTCCAGTATTTCAATTTTTTTTCCAAATACTATTTTTCTTATATTTTTAATTCTTGTAGCGAGGACTAGAGGCAGAGACGGTTCTATTGCGAGACGGACCACCGATAGAGTCGATGTTGTTGCTCTAGCTGCTGATGAGGCGCAGGCCTCAGAGCTACATGCTAGACATCGTCCTCTGACTGATTCTCACCGAAAACGGATGGCTGAGCAGCAGGTGGTGACGGGGTTTCACGCAACTCGTCGTCAGGCCGGTAGAGCATCCACTACTGTTGAGGAGGTGCAGACTTATGCAGTGGAGCTTCAGACTCTTACTATGGAGGATCAGAGTCCTGTTTCTACAGTGGAGCCGGTATTTGAGGAGCGAGTGGTTGAGGAGCACATAGTTGAGGAGCAGGTGGTTCAGGATTCAATGGTTTAGGATGAGATAGTTGAGGAGTCGGTGGTTCAGAAGCCAATAGTTGAGGTTGTTGTTGCGCGAGTTGAGGTTGTTGTTGCGCGAGTTGATGTGGTGTCCTCCGCTGATACAGACACCACCACCCGTGCATCTACGGAGCAATCAATACACACTGATGGAGGTTTCCCGAGAGGACCTTTTGACAGGTCTGTGTTGACGGGATACGCGGACCATGTCGCTTATAGGATATGGCAGGGAGAGGTATGTAATATTGGTCTCGTTTAAATGCTTTATTTTTATTTTTATTACACGATTTGATGTATATTAATTTGTTTTAATTGAATTATTATGAAGAAATTCCCCGAGAGCACGATGCCTGAGCAGGTGAGGAGGATAGTTGAGGATTTCCAGTTGGTGGACTTTGTTAGATGCTCTTTGACGATGTTGGACGCTTCTTTGTTATCAGCTTTTGTTGAGATGTGACACCCAGAGACATCATCCTTCCATCTTTCATTTGGAGAGATGACAATGACTTTAGATGATGTGGATGCCCTCTTTCACATTCTGATTGTTGGTACGTTTTTCACACTAGTACATAGGACCAGGCGACGGCGGTGCAAATGGTTATGGATGCTTTGGACGTTGATGAGGTGGAGGTGTTACGGGAGTTTGGTGAGACTCGTGGATTTCACCTTCGAATGTCTTGGTTGAGGATTACTTATAAGGAGCTTGTGGAGGAAGAGATTAGCTTGAGGATTACTTATAAAGTACATACGGAGGCTGGATGCGCTGACCTTGGATGATGTCATCTGGACACCCTATACAGCTCATTGCCCTCATCGTCCTTTTGAGGTATCTACTTTATATCCAGGGTATGTCAGATGGAAGAGCCATGTGGGTTGTGGCTAAACACTTGCTTGAGAGGTGTCTACGCCAGTATGGTTATATACAGGTCATCTCACGTCTGGTCCCAAAGGCTCCAACTGATGGCATTGATCGATGGTTTCAGAGTCACATCATCAGCTCCCTCTGTGAGATCACTGATACAGTTGTTGAGGTTCAGGAGCCTAGGCAATGTGAGGATGGATACCTGGAGTAGTTCCACAGTGTGTCACACCCTAGAGTCATACCACCTGCTACAGCATCTAATGTTCCAGGGCCTTCAGGTACTAGGGATTCTTCTGATCCACTACCACCACCTCCACCTCCCGTAGGTGACTAGGTGAGGTTTATACTGATTTAGCTAGATTAGCTGACGTTGCCCGTGAAAGGCCTATATATATATATATATATATATATATATATATATATATATATATATATATATATATATATATATATATATATATATATATATATATATATATATATATATATATATATATATATATATATATATATATATATATATATATATATATATATATTGTGACAAACAGACATTTTTTTTATTACATGTCCTTTTTGCTAGTACATGTTTCGATTAGATAAAGAAAATAAAATAACATCAATAATAAACAAACATAGTTAACAAACATCAAATGACAAACAACAAACATAAACAATACTCTGAAACATGAAAATCTATGCACTATCAAATGACTCTGGATGCTTCAGCATCTTCATTATATTGTCCACAGATCTTTGGATCTGCGCGTCCGACTTGATCGAACCTTTAGTTATCCTACGACGAAATGATTTCCAATGGCCTTTACATCTTCATCGTTCTTCAATTCGATTAGGTTGTATTTCACTCTTCCATTTGTATTAATTCAGTCCCCCCGAAATTCTATCTTTGCCACCCTTATGTTATCTGAATCAGACAACAAACCATTCAATATTTCTTTCAAGGTGGCAAAAGATTCAGATCCGTCTGGAAGCTTGAATTCAATTGGAGGTTTGTCGTCGTTGTAATACACTTTTGCCTTAATCAGAAATTGAAGAAGAGGCATTTTGTTGAGATATGTTATCCAATAACCCTAAGACCCCTATTTATACAAATGGTGATGAATTCTAGACCACACATATGTGTCGGTGCAATAAGTATCCTCCAAAAGTGCCGGCAAAATTCAACCGTTGAAAAAATCAGAAATTTCCGATACTGCCCGGAAATTTCAAATACACTACTGGAAATTTCCTCGTACCGAAAATTTGATAGGGGTGTATTGAAAATTTCAACCCTCTTACCAGAAATTTCGTCCGAAAATTCTTTGTATCTCATCAAAGGTAAAATTGAAATATAAAAAAATGGGAGATAGCATGTATAATTTAAGGGGTGGCAAGATAAATTCTCGACAATGAGACTTTAGTTGGGCCAATATCGAAAACCCGGCCCATAATAAGTGGTTTCAGGGTTTATAGGATTTATTATCACCATTCTTTGTTTTTCTTTTTTATAAAAACAAAACTGTTTTCATAATTCAGGATTTTCTATTTTCTACATTTCCTGTAAAGGAAAATGCAGAACGAAGAAGGCCAAATCACGGAGCTCTACATTCCTAAAAAATGGTATTTAACATTTTCATAATCTCGTATTTTAATGTTATTTGTTGATTTCGTTATGGAATTTTGAACTGTTGTGTGGATTTGGTTCAGTTCTGCTACAAACAGATTGATAACTGCCAAGGATCACGCTTCGGTTCAGATCAATGTAGGTCATTTAGATGAGAGCGGTGTTTATAATGGTCACTTTTCTACTTTTGCTCTATGTGGCTACGTTCGCGCACAGGTCTTGAATGTCATTGGTTTATCATAGAACACAATTTGAATTAGCTTTAGTAATTAACATTGTTGATTCTGTTTCTCTCTTAGAAGAATCTTTCCACATGAAAGCCACTCTCACGTGTAACTTTTGTGTCCTATGAACCCTTTGAGGATCAACTCAAAAAAAAAAACCTTTTTGCACAAAAAGAGGACAACCAAGCAAAACTATTGATTAAGAGCGATTTGGACACATGTCCTCTTCAACTATCTATACCAATCCAAATTGTTTATTTAAAATCATTGCGGATGTCAAATTTTGTGCATAATTGTTTATTTAAAATCATTGCGGATGTTAAATTTTGTGCATAATTGTTTATTTAAAATCATTACGGATGTCAAATTTTGTGCATAATTGTTTATTTAAAATCATTGCGGATGTCAAATTTTGTGCATAAGTTGGTTATAGTTAATAGATAGGAAACTGCTACCACAACTGGCCTATCCTCGACTAATTGTTGTTATGTAAGGTTAAATTGTAAATTATCATTTCATATGTAATCCAAATAAAACTATGGGAAAAGAATAGTAAATATTAGTGATGATAGACACTAACTAAAATATTAGTCCATTACGTATTTGATTTATTAAGTGTTGTAAGATATGTTAATCTAGGACAAAGTGTTTGACTAGGTATTCATGTATAAATCGTACAACACAATTATTAATCTTACATGTTTGTTAACATATAGTAGTAATCAAATGAATATTTTGGGGTGGGAAACTAGCATATAATAGTAATCAAAGGAACAATTAGGGTGGGAAATTGATATGTCTGTTTTATTTAAATTTGTTTTACAAAAAATCGTAAAATTATAATAAGACGGATATATTTGAGAGTGTGTCTAAAACTTTGTTTCACTCTGCAAAAAAAAGTGAGAACGAGATGAGAAAAATCGGCGAATATCGAAACTTTAAGACAAAAATGTTTGCGTTTGAAAGAATGAAAAAAATGAAGCGAGACAGGACCTAAACTCTTGGCCCCGATCCCTTTTTTGCCATCCCTCGTAGAAATAATCCACAACTATGACAGCGACATGAATATCATAGTGCTAAGAAGTGTAACTTGAACAATGACATTTAGTTGTTTTAATCTCAATTATTAGTAAAATTAAGAATAACTGTTAATTTCTTCTAAAAAATTATGCAATAAAAAAATATTTATCTTCAATTATCATTTATGTATGTTTAATTTTGTATTGTAATATGTTTTATTGAGGAATATTTTGAGAATAACACAACTATTAAACAATATGAAATAAGTTATGAGTCTTATGTTTTGTTTATACTCTAGAACACTGAATATTTGTTGAGTTTAGAAAAACATGAATTCAGGTAACATGATGAGACAGCAGTAAAGATGTTGTTACAAGTACAACTACTAAGAGTATCATAATATTCAAATATAAAGTATATTTTTTAATTTTCCAAGAAAGAAAAACATGGGGAAAAAAAGATAAAAGAGAAAATTAAAATATATGCAAATGAAGGAAATGCTAGTTGGACTTACCAGTAGATATGAAGATTGAAGATGATAGTCCAGCGTATGTATATCTCATATTCTGCAATGCTTTATCACCTGAAGTTTTAAAGGACCGGAGCTCAATGGAGAAAAATGAAGTTGGAAAAAAGTGACAAATATGGAAAGTTTAGTAACAAATGAGTGTGGTTATGTTATGTTCACAAAAATGTTTGAAAGTGAGTGACATGATAGGCAACAATAGTGGAATCTCTTGTCTCTTGCAAAAAGAAAACGCCACGTTTACATGCTATCTCCAAAGCCTTTCTTGAATTTATAGCATTACCATAACTTTTTTAATAAGTAGTGGGTCTGTTTTGTCCTGAGTTCAAAAGTGGCTTTATACTGCTTGGCTCTTTTAGTTATTCTAATCCATAGTTGTTGATAATTAACTCTATCATAGTTGTTGATTTATATTGTTATTAAGTTACCATTTATTAAAAATAAACTCTGATAAAAGAAAATATGGAAAAGAAATAGTACCTCAGAATCTCATATGCGTGTCAAATATGTGATGCATGCTGTCTTAAATCAATAAAATCAACAATTTAGTGGTAGGTGCTAAAGTGCTTGTCTAATGCATCCTTTTCACATGCCAATTAAATTTTCTTCTTCTTTTTATCCACAAATTATATGGTCTACAAGGAATATTCTCTACCTTTCACATCACGATGAATATATATACTTGTAAGTTGTAATACAAATTGTTTTTACATGATAAAAATGCATGAGCATACGCAAATGTAAAGTAACCTCTCTGCAAATAGTTTCACTCGATTATGTTAGTGGAAGCTCATATTTCTCGATTCAATTGTTTGGCACAGATATTATAATTGTGTTAAGGTAGGTAAAGTTCAGATTCGTATCCTTAACTTTTGTTGCGCATGAAAACCAAATCGTTAGATATCTAGTTTTTGTGTAGTTAAGCTATTAAACTTCAACATGCTAATGGAAAAGAAAAACAGCTGACCTATTTGATTTTAATTATGAAATTTATTAAGTAGTTGGGATAATTTTTAAATTATTTTCTTTCTAAACTATTTTTATAAGGACAAAACATAAATACAATTTTTTGGTTTTTTATTTTTTCTAATGAAAATTTGACAAATATGCTTAAATATCATTTAAAGAGTGAAAATAGAAACAATTTATATATGTAACAGAAAATTATATATTTGTTATATTTTTATTGGAAAATAGTAAGAATCACACCTAAAAAATTATACTTAAGTTTTGTCTTTTTTATAATAGATAGTTAATATGATTGAAAATAAATTGAGTCAAGTTAATTTTTAAAGGCTTCAACGGATTTTATTTTTCTTTTTTGAATGTTTTATATAATTTTTTATCTTATTTAAAATTTTGTTTTATATAAACGAATTAAAGTAAATGATCTTACAAAGTTAATAGATTAATGAGATTGAATTGAGTTTTGATAGTTAACGAAACATTTTAAAAGTTTTGACTATATATTGTTAGAAGAATGCTAAGAACATTTTTTCTAAAATGTGTTATTTTATTGGGTGAAATTCATATAAATCTCAGGGTTTCATTTTCAAAGTTTGAGACATTAGTTTTATCCAACAAGTAATGGTTAGAAAAGTTTGAGACATTAGTTTTATCCAACAAGTAATGGTTAGAGTGTTGAAAAACAAATGTTCCTAGTACTAATGTTTCCGTGATAGAACGAGAGATTTGTTAGATGAAGGGAGATAATTCTTTCAATATAGCGGAAAGAATCTCCGACGTGGTGGAGTGAGAAGAATCTGTAAGGTTTACATTCTAACGTTTAAATTACAGTAATAACAGAGTTATTTACAAGAGTGAAAAGATAAGATTTATTATAGCACGTAGCATGATTTATATATGACTGATGGTTAAAACCATCCCCGTTTGATCTGACATGTGCCGTGAAGAGCCAACTAATCATATCTAAAGGTGGTTCATGCATTGATAGCTTAGATCGAGTGTCAGACTCTTCATTGAGATTTTATTTGTTCATTGACCTTTTGTGATGACATTTTGGGTTGGGCGTTTGTAATTAGGTATTTGTTACTAGATCTTTGATCGATTCAAAACAGTTATCCTTGTTCTTACAAGTGAAACGAGGATTGCATTAGAAGATCCATGATTCTCTCTTCATCGTCTTGGATTTCTTGGACAGACATTCGACTTAGACAAGTCAAGCAGAAGAGTATATTGAATGGGACCATGTACATCTTGAGCATGAGATAAATGATGGAAAGGTAGTAACGTTTTGTAAAAGCATTATGCCTAAACAGAAGTGAGAGAAAGTAAAAATATTTTTAGAGAGAGTGAGTGATATAGAGAACTCACGTTTCAGAATGTCAAAATATAAAGAGAGAGACATCTATTTATAGGCTAGAGGTTAACACAAAAGGGAAAGATCCATGGACCAAAATAAATGAACCAGTCAATTGAGATCTTAGGTCAATCAATTGGGATCGCTAAATAAAATCTTACAACGGTTCAAAATAGAAAGAATGGACACAGAGATGTTGTCCTTCGTTAAGACATTGTCACAATCACTTATAGACTTCGTTTGCACTAACCCAAATGATTGGATATATGCATTAATTGATTGGATAGTTCAAAAACTTGTTCAAAACTATCAAATAACCCAAATTCGTTTGCTTGATCTAGAGGAAAAGCTTTGAACAAAAATGTCTTCTACAACTTTACCAATTGACGTTAATGAGTTATCGTCTTCAAAAGCATGTTGTCAAAAGCAAACAACGAAAATTGTCTTTAACTTTGATCACTTCTTAAATGACCTAGAAAATATAGTTCCGCGTTCTCCCTGTTTTTTCCTTTTGATGATGACAACATGTCTCTCAAAAAGGAGGTAAAAGAAACAAGGAAATTTCTTTCTACACTTAGTACTCTTCTCCAAGACCTGTTGTAAAAAACCTAAAATACTCTCAGAATTCGCAAGTGCACTTGCGAACGCACCATCAACGTGATTTTTTTTATTTACTTCGCATGTGCATTTGCAAAGTCACATGTTAGAGAGTGAATTCGCATATGCATATGCGAATTATGCTCTGTGTTATTTTTTTTTTAATATTTAAGATTAATTCGCATGTGCACTTGTGAATTATACAGAAAAAGAAAGTGATCAATTGTTTGCACCAAAGAGACATGAAAAAAACAAATAAATTATAATATTTGTGATGCAGATCTTCATTTTTATTTAATAATTATTAATAATTATTATTTCTATTTTTTTCATTTTATAATAAATACGTAATTATTAGGTATACTTTCTATTTACAAAAACAAAACGGCCCTATTTCTGTTTCAAAATAAATCTATTATAATATTTATTTTAATTATATAAATTTCATTCAATACATTATGTTATCGGTTTAATATTATAATTTAAAACATTTTTTTTGTTAGAGTTTCTAAAATATATAAAATAATAAATTGTTTTTAATTATAAGAAATTAAACATACTTATTAAAATGTTTTTAATAAGTTGTCTAATGATTAAAATGTTTATAATAAGATAGGGTTAGAAATATTGGGTTCTTTCTATTTATTAATTTATTCTAATTTATTCTAATTTAGTCACCCTAATTTATTTCTATTTGTTAATTACTCTAATTTAGTCACCCTAATTTAAAATTTAAAAAATTATTAACAATTTTGTATTGCATGATTAACAACAGTAAATAACTATACTCATACAATTACAAAATGCATATATATTATGTGAATTAAATCTACTCTATTTTTAATATAATTAAAAAAAAAATTACTACCAAATTTACTTGATTATTTAACAAGCATTTTAGAGACCCTAAATATCATTTCATCTTTCTGATTTTTACTTACCATAATTAAATATTACGATTAATTTTCGCAGGTAAATTCTCAAGTGCACTTGCGAAACCTGCTCTTGCGAAACCTTCTCTGAACGTGTAAAAAAAATAGTTTCTCCGCAAATGTACTTGCGAAATCTGTTGAGAGGTGAATTCGAAAGTACACTTACAAAAGGTATTTTTGAATTCTCAGTGGTGAAAACCACCGCTACTAAGTGTAAAGAGAAATTCCAAAGAAACAAATATATGGAGGGTTCAAACTCCTCCAAAGTATTCTCTATTCCACTGAGTATATTCTCACCCACCCCCACAAAAGCAAGAATGAAAGGCACAAATCTAGTGAAAGTGCCATAATGAAGTTCAAACAACAGAACACTGCCTGCCAAATTAACTGGGAAAAGTAGCACCTTAGGAATGTGTAAAGTGTCAGTTTCGCTACAATCCTAAAAACGAACACGTTGCAGCAGCCTGTTGGCGAAATTGGTTCACCCTGGTAGGAATTTTGTCAAGTAAAAGTTTCCAACCAAAAGCAGTTATCTTAGTTGGAGTGGGGCTCATTTATTGTCTTCCTAAGAACTATCAACTCCAAACATGTAAGAAAGGAATCATTGAATTGTTTCTGTATGTGTGCGTACGAGAGCCAGAGGGGATCTACCAGTCTGAATGACATTTCCATAAAATTAAGAGTTCAAGGAAACACCATTTAAACATATTCATTCAGATGTACCAAATATGGCAAAAATATCTTTTAAAGTTGAAAACCAAACATAAACCATCCAAAAGTTCAGAAAGGTTCAAACAATATAGACATGGTTTTCACAAACTAATCAGGACATTAAAGTCTCAAACCGCTTTCTCTGGATGTTTTGAAAAGAGAACTGTCGGTTATGTCCTTGTTCACCACATACCCGCAACACTCCCTTGCCCTCTTCCTTCCTCTCCGAAGATCAACCTATGAATTGAGAATAACAGTATCATGTATGTGACATTCTTATCATTTGGTGGCAAAGTAACACATTCTTTATAAGAGCTTCACTACTGAAGGAAAAAAGAAACAAATGCTAAATCATGACCATAGAAGGTTTGATGTGTTGCAGGATTGAAGCCACTCAAGTTAAAAAGAAAATACAAAGAGTGATAGGTTACAAGGAAATACACCACGGTAATTCTCATGTTGCTAAAATAAAAATAATTAAGAACTCACTTCTTTAGGAGCAATTTCCATGGCTGGAGTTTGTACCTCAGTTGCAGATGATTCATGGCCCATTATTATCATTATAGTTTGATCCTACAACCACAGATTATGTTGGTCACGGTAAAACAAAAATAATAAACAGAAAGAAATAATTAAATGCTCACTATTTTGGTACCGGCTTCTATTGCGGGAAGTATTTCCTCATCCGTGGATTATTTCTTCATCCGCATATGATATATATCCCAATACCTTTTTAGTTTGATCCTGCAACCACAAATAATGTTGGTAATAGTAAACAAAAACAATAAAACCATTCAAAGATACATAAGTTATTAGCTTGATCTCTCCCAGTTTCTCCAATAACGCACAATTTTTAACACAGTATGTTTTCTCCATCATACTATAAGCCACAGAGGACCCAGTAAAGCATGTCACCATCATCCCTCCTTTGTCTTGAGTCTTGGCCAGAGCACCTCTTCTATCAAAAACGTTACATCTCATCCATTTCTCATGAGATTCACACAAAAAATCATAGTAATAATAGCACCATGTGATTTATTTGGCAAGTGATGCCATTGATATTTCAGATATTTTGTTGCAATAAGAACGACATAAAAATTATGACCAATAGCGAGCTTGATAGGCAACGACCTCCTATTATATTAGAACAAATAGGATGTCAATGTCATAGAGGATAACGAGCTCGAAAAGTGACTGATTGTGACAGCTAATTAACAGATATACTGAGGTGGTTGTACAAAGAGAGGTATCTTGGAAATTGTATCATTCTTGGATGGGAGAGTGATAGAGTTATAGATTTGATGTTACAACGCATTATAGAAGCTATCAAGAATGACCATGAGGACAAGGTTGTTCTTGTAGGGGGAGTGATGATAGAAATGGGGTTGGGCCTATTAATAGGGAAGAGGAAGTGTTAGCAAATAAGAATGATGTTGGGCCCAAGGTATGGCGTGTGTATGAGAGGAGGGTTAAGAGAGAAGTCACTAAAAAAGTGGGATTGTTGAGGTGGCAGTTTGTTAAGACATTTTCCATAATAAGTAGGAGAGTAAAATTTAGTTAGAATCACTATTATTGTTTTGTAATCATTATTATGATGAGGCAATGAGAGAAGCTTGTTCTCTAACTAGGGCTTCGCTATAAACTTGTATTTCCATTTTCATTATTGATTTATACAATTCATCTTTTCCATCTGTTTTGATTTGATCTCTCCTCTATCAGTTGGCTTCAATGTTTCCCAAACGATCCTCTCCACTGATGTAACTCTGTCAGCCATCTTGGGGGGCCCGAAGCATCAACAACGGCAGGTTGGGTCAATTGATAGAGCCGAAATCAAAGATAACTAAATGGATAGAAAGGAATTTATTGTATAATGAATATTGGAAAGGGAATTACAAGCCCAAAGCAAAGCTCCTCAGTTGGAGAACAAGCTTCCCCTACTGCCTAACCGTAAGGTGAATACAAAATGCAAGTGGATCCTAACTAATTCCCCTACTATTTATTATGGAGAATATCCTAACCACCTCAGCAGTCACACTTTCTCAGTGACTCCTCTCTTAAACATTCTCTCATACACACACGTTCTTAGTGACTCCTCACATTCTCTCATACACACGCCACACCTTGGGCCCAACATCATTCTTTCTTATTAGCCAACACATCCTCTTCAACGGGCCCAGCCCCATTTCTATCAGAGAGTGAGGTCACTAATTTTGGTTCACTTCAACTATCAAAAATGCTACGTGGTGTGGCAGTTTTTTTGTGAGATTGAGGAAAACAGTGCATCCCACATGCTTTATTCCATCATTTGGCACACATTGCTTTATTCAAGCCAGGAAAGTAGGAGAATAATTGCTGATAAAGAGAGTACATTACAAAATAGTTATGTTGATCATGCACAAAGAAACTGATTCAAGGATAATAGAATGAAAGAACAAAGAACACACATCATTAAATGGAGTCTGATTACAAAAGGCATTCACAAAGCTAAGCAGCATACTTTATTAAACTTTGCTATGTGTAATGCTTATCACGGAAAACACAAACTTTTGGGGGGAGAAGAAAGGAAAGGAGTTGTTCACTTCTTCAGCTAGGGTTTAAGGTTTAGCAACAGGATCAGCTCGGGAGTTCAGTATTCTCAATGAGACACAACCCTACAACTAATCCTAAAACAAAATATCAGTAACAGTATTAAAGAAGTGACAATTTTAACAGTAAAACCAGAAAGACCATAAAACATAAAATCGCGATTACAAGTTAGTATATTGTAAATTGCTCTGTCATTGAGTAACATATTCATCCAATCCATCCGAGTGAAAATCAAATCCTTTCTTCAGCCAGAGGAACTCGCGTCTGTAAAGGTACAAGCGATATTGTAAATATGTTGCAGATGAAGAGTAAGAAATTAAGCACGCAAAATGCCAGCATGCCATTTAATACAATAAAGAGGTTAACAACCATGTCAAAGAATCAACAAAATTGATGGATGGATCCGAGCATGGCTGTGCAAACAAGCATGGCAGCTGCCAGAACTAAAGCAGAGCCGGCGGAAGCAAGAAGGCAGTGAAGGTGTCATTTTGATGAAGACGCACAAATTGGAATTCCAATGGGTCACAGTGAGAACTTCATTGTTAAACGAAAAACAACATATACAAAATGTATTTTGGGATTTTGTTTTTCCTAAAAACTGTTTTGAAATTATTGGAAAAATCATTTCAACTCTATTTTACCCTAACATGTTTTGCTTTCAAATTTAACTTTTAAAACCAGAAACTCACAGCCACCCCGAACGGGCCTACATCATTGGCAATCAATTTTATTTGAAGCATGCATGTGTATGCGTCCACACTTATTTGAACTATATATCCAAATTCAATCAAGGGGCACACATTAAAAAAGATTTTACATTTATTTTCATGAATAAAATGATTATCGGATTATTCATAATACTTATATTATTAACCCAAGCATAACTACTCGAGAACTATGGTAGAACAGATCTAAAACCAATTCGATAGAAAACAAAATGAAGAATCCCATCCACAAAAGAAAAAAAGCAGATTTTAATCGCATTGAACTGATTTGAAAATGAAACAAGGCATTGAAAATAGGGAACACAACAAATGGCATACTAGTTTTTAATTGTACAGCATACCTTATTTAAGCAATCACGGAAAATATGTGAAGACCCTTCATTGGATCTTGTAAACCTGGTTGTTTGGAACGGAATAACATGTCAGCAAATTATTCCAATTAATAAAATCAATACATTTGGAGGGAGAAACAGCACCTACAGATTGCTGTTGTGCAAGAGCCTAGTTAACAGGATCTGAGCCCAGATTTTAGACCAGCAGAGCGAAGTTTTCTGTGGTACACACTCATACCCCATCTTTGTATACTTCTGTTGGTTTAATATTCCAAAAGGATTTTAGTCAGATAAAAACCACTTCAAAATAAATTCTAGAAAGAACCATTGTTGCTCAAATCAACAAGCAATCTCTAAGTCTAACTGATTGAGTTTAAAATTTTCTCATTGAATAACTCAACTTGTTACTTCTGAAAATAACAAGTAACAAGTTTAACAGATATTCTAGAGGGCTCCTCGACATGCCTCTGAAAATAAAACGAAAGACATAACACGTGAATCCACGCATTTATACTGCTGTCCATGCAGACCAGGTGAAGTAATGAAAGCTTTGTTCTGACTCTCTTTACGTGCTTGCATTACAGATATAACACTTGTTGGTGATGTCATCCCAGTGGGGCTCATTAACTGTTTCTCATCATGTGCACTGTGAGTAATATTCAACCCATCAATAGAAGTTTTAACAGAACTGGCGTCAGTCCCTTCATCCCATGCATCAATTGTAGTATTCAGATCCCAGTTTTCCCTGCTATTAACACGAGTAGTGTCGCTATCACTTTTAGTTTAGCATCAGTATTTGAACTGAGTACTGCATTCCTCATTGTTTAAAGAAAATCCCGGTCTCCTTTATCGAGATCGGGATTTATCACATGTAACAGATGCAAACAAATGCTCCTTAAAGCTTAAAGATAAGCTAGTACTTTCAGAAACTACAGGACTTTCTTGTTTAAGTGTGTCTTGGACAATTTGTTTGCTCATATCTGCTCCAATGCCAAGTGCATGACCATTTTTTGCAGCCAATGAGAGTTTCGTATTTGGCTTGATTGTTTGGCATCCCAAATTTTTATCATTACATTAATTGAGGACTACCTTCCCTTTGCTATTCGCAACTGCCAAAGTACACGATGGTGTGGAATTGTTTGATTTCTCCTGTTTGGGCATAAGCAAAGATTTTTTTGCCTCATGTCAGCATTGGTAACATCAGAACTCAATTTCTTTTCTTCAAATACAGGGTTTCCAATGGTATCAGATAACCCAGCAGAACTGGTGGAAAGGGTTGAACCCAGTGACGTGCTTGAATGTTCCTTTCGCAATCCTGACGTGAAGCCTCTTCCAAAGAAGTTGAAGCATGATGTGAAGAAGGAAACCTCCTTTTCTTGATAGGTGCACCTGCAGTACTGGCATTTGATACAGTCAATCCTTGAGAAGTGCTTTTTCTTTTCGTTGTAACTCAGTTTCTGCAGTGATTGAACATGATTTTTCAGATCGGGGAAGAGAAGAAGACCTAAACAGAGGTGGGTACCTCCTTTTCTTAATTGGCACACCTGCAACTAAATCACTAAATTGACCAGCAAAGGACTTTACCACCACTCTCTTCATGTCCTGAAACTCGCATGGTTCCAAAGTTCGCTATAAACAAGTCAAAACCTTTCTTGCAAACTTCAGTAATTATGATTCAATAGCAACAAATCTTCAACAAAAATATTGAAGTTGGCAAAAAATTCCTGCACCGAATAAACTAGCTGTGAACATTTCTTGCAAAATACTTCCACAGTTCCACTATCCAAGTAAAGCAGATCCTAGCCTTAATCTCACTTCAAACAAAATAGTGGGAACCTAATAAGAAAAACAAGATTGTAGAAAAAGGATTTTGCAACTTTGATGAAATAGCTAGAAAGAGATATAAAGGAATAAATGAACCTCTTTCTCTCTCTAAAACACACACACACACTCTCTCAAGAAATTAGGGTTTGCAATTTAACCAACAGCTAAAACATAAGGTCAAAATGAAATCGAACTTATCCAAATAATCAAAACTTCTTCAAGAACAAGCAGGCTAATAGAAACAGATACAAATATGGAAACAGAGAGAAAATGAGGGAAAAGTAGAATCATTGCTTTCTTGTATTTCAGTAATGAATTGTTAGTTACAACATTTGAGATATTAGTGTTTATATACTTATTCTAGGATCAGTTGAGATTGTGCTGACTCAGCACAGTCAATTACAGCAATAAGGCCTTGTTTGGTACTACTCTATTATCTACTCTATTACAAGCCATGGACTACTACAAATTTTTCGATGAAACACACAAGCATCTACTAATCATTCATAGTTTCAAATAAAAACTTGAATATTAAAAAAGAAAAAATAGCTAACCTTGTCAATTGTCATGTCATTTTCCTATAAACCACCTACCAACCGTTCCTTGAAGAAGTTTCTTTTCCCCAACAATTCCCATTATTTTACCAAAAGTGCACGAACAATGGTATCAAAAGTTAAATAGTTAGGAAGGCAATTATTGTCTACCATTTTATAAAGTAAGCTCTCTGCTTCATCTAAAAAACCCTCTTTACAAAGCCCATTGATCATAATGTTATATGTTCGAATATTTGGTTGACACTCTTTGGCTGACAGAAGTTGAAAAATCTCTTTTGCATACTTTAGTCTTCCACTTTTGCAAAGGCCGTCAAGAAGTATATTATATGTGCGTATGTTTGGCGAAATCCCAATTTCAATAATATGCTGAAATAATGCAAGTGCCTTGTCAAGTTTTTCACGTTTGAAGTAATCATCTAACAATGTATTGTAAGTGATTAAATCAGCGGGTTGACCACTAGCACGCATGGCCTCAACCAAGTCCCACTCGTACAACGTTCTTCCAGATTTCGACAAACCATCAAGAAGACAATTATAAGTCACAGTATCAGGAACTAAATTCTTCGTATGCATTTCCGTCAATAGCATCATAGCTTCATCCACCATCTTAACCTTACAATATCCATTAATCAAAGTACAAAAACTAATAACATTAGGCAAACAACCTCTTCCAACCATCTTATCAAACACTCGTCTCGCCTCATCCACACCACCACCCAAACAATAACCATTCATCAAAGCATTATAACTAACAACATCCGGATTCCAACCTCTTTTAATCATCACAGCAACCACATTACAAGCTTCCGTAACCAATCCCACTTTACACAAACCATCAATCAATATATTAAAAGTATACACATCCGGATAAATTTTCCTTTGTACCGCCATTTCATCGAGCAGCTCAGCTGCAGGACGAAACCGACCAACAGAACACAAACCATGAATAAGAGAATTATAACTGTAAATATCAAGACCAACACCATTAGCAACCATTTCAGAACACAAACCACAAGCCTCGTCTACAAGTCCTTGTTTACAAAAACCATCAATAACAGTATTATACATAATCAAATTAGGGTAAACCCTAATCTTCTTCATCTTAGGAAACAGCTCTATAGCAGTTTTTGTTTGACCGGTTTTACACAAACCATTGATTATGGTCCCGTAACAAACCTCGTCAAATATAAAACCTCTGGAAACCGAATCAGCAAGCAAACTAAGTGCCTCCAAAACCCTACCTTTCAAGCACAAGGCTTTCATCAATGTAGTAAGCGTTTTCACATCTAAATGAAAACCCCTCTTGATGAGCTTTCCAACAACAGAAAAAGCAAAACCCGTTTGACCCAGTTGAGAAAAACTGTTGATTAATATACTCATAGTGATAAGCGAGGGTTTGATGGTTGTGGTTAATTCGAGCTTGGAGTATAGCGAAACGACGGTGGTGTAGCGTTTGAGTTTGGATATCGTTGTTAAGAGTTTGTTGAATTCTTGAATGGGAGGTGGGTGGCGGAGGGAGAGGAAGTGGTTGAAAGATGAAACGGCGTCGTGGAAGGTTGGGAGTTTTTGGAGCTTTTTGCGGTGGGTGCGAGCGAAGAAGGTTGTGGAAGAGGATGAGGATGGAGTGCGGAGAGATGTGAAGAGAGTGGTGGTTGCGTAGATTGGATTCAACATGGTGAGAAGGTTTCAATCGTGAGGGACAGCAAATACATACCTGACACGGAATGTAACATATTCGTTGTTTTTCTATGTTGGAGGAGAGTTGTCCATTGTTTATCCTGAAGCTTGATGAATAGTAGTCAATGAAAAGTATTGTTTAATGCAGTTTAGTAGATATGAGAATGAGAATGGTGTCTTCTTGAGTGATAATGAAAACGAAGACAACATGATTTAGGGTTCACAGCAATTGATTTATAATCAAATCAAATTAAATTAATACTTATTTTAAACATCAAAATTGATTTTAATAACATGAATAGTTTATTTCTATTATAAATATATTAAAATATCATAAACCATCTAACTAAATGCATATTCTAAGGGTACCAATGTCTATTTGAAAGGTGAAATTAATAACTATCAAGAGCATTTTGCGTGCGTAGTTGATTAAAGGTGTGATCGGAAGTGTTGTGGTTGGTGTTTTGACTTCGTCGATTGTTGTTGTCAGAGGTATGCAAGAGAGAAAGTCAATCGGAGTTGCTTCGTGGTGTGACAGCGTATGTGTGGATTCACTTCTTCTCCATTTGAATTTTGATTTCCCCTGTAGTTCTATGACCTATCTCCCTCTTTTTGTTGTCATCACCTTGTTTTTTTTAATCTGCGGCTTATCATTGGTTTCTATTTGATAAATATTTATATAGTCGTTTATTGTTATTTGTATTTCGCTCATGTTGATGAATACTCTCAAACATTGGTTCCTTATATTTGGGCAATTGGACATGCTACAAATAGAGTAATTATCAGAAAATGTTATTTTGGTGGAGGAAATGGCCTTTGTAAAAACATTGTTTCAGACAGATGGTCTCAAACAATACCTCATAAAATAGATGATGAAGTGGGTAGCAATTCATGTGCAATGAATGTATATAATAACTCTTGAAGTAGTGGATAATTATATATGAAAACATCTAAATATAGATCAAATTTATCATAACTATTTGTTTAAAATTTGTTACAGAAAGTTAATAAATCTTATGACATGAAGCTAATAACTCATTCTTCTACACGAAGTTAATAACTCAATCTGTTACAGGAAGCCAATAATCCTCCGGGCAATTGGTTTGAAATTTTGTTGTCATTAGTGTGATGTTTACATACATAAGACGTGTACTTCTGGTATATATTTGAAGTCTATTTTGATAAGTTTGGATGGATGTTGAAATTTAACCATGTTATTGAATGTGTGAAATTTAAGTCTTATATTTAGTATATTTCAGTAATATGTATCAGTAGTATATTTCTGAAAAGTAAGCATTATGTTTTATATGCATCAATATTGTTGTTTAATTACATATTATAATGGACAAATGTCATTGAGTGTCTAACTACATGCTCATGTTTGGTATTTTTGCATTAGGTAACTCAATAATTTGGTAAATAGAATCCTATTCTCACATCACAACCCAATAGCTAGAAGACTGAGATGAAAAGAAGAGCAAAATATGGTTGCTCAAGAAGGTAATTCTCTTTATGATTTCAATTTTATTATACTATGTCACTTGCATGCAATTTCTGGATACATAATATTGAGATTCTCTCTTTTCACAATGTTGTTTCTAACTGACAACCTCAATATATTTGCCATTGTGCAAAATTAACTCTTGAGATTTGATCTTTCAGAAAGGATAACTCACGAAACAACTGGGTTCTGACACTTTTAGGATCTTGGCAAGATGCATATTTTGATCCATTTAACACTGAAAGGTCTATACAACTAGGAACCTTATTTTTCTTCTAATGATTGCAGTGCTTGGTTTATTTTTCTATTGTAATCATGTGTATCTCTTTGTATTTTATTTCTGTTAGACTTACATATTCTGATGAATGCATTGGTTAATTTTATCTTAATGTACCATATAAATGACTTCTAAACAGTATATATTTAATTATTATATTTTTATTTAAAATTATTCAATGAAATATCAAATCATTTAAAATATTTAAAATATTTAAAGTTTTATAAATTTTATAAATTTTGTAGAATTAAACTTCTATTATGAAATTCTCCTAGACAAAAAGATAGAGAAAATATTCATTTAGTACTGAAATTTCAAGATACCATGAAATATAAATATTTATTTATAACTGAAATTTGACGGGGAACTCTCATACATTGTAGGTTTGTAAAAATTTTAAATATGATATAGTAAGAAGGATTTAAAATTGATATTTGACAGGAAGCTGTTATAAATAATAGGTTTGGAAAATTGACTAATATCTAAAAAGTAATGTTATTGGAATTGGAAAACTGATATTCGATGGGAAGTTGTTATAAATTTTAGGAATTAACTCATTTGTATTCAAATGAGTTTTGTTTACTCATATGAATTCACAAGTAGATGTGAACGTATCTATGAGATATCAGCGGTAGAATGATAATTTTAATGTCCATCTTTTAACTATTTCTTTTGTTGTTATTATATATAATTGAAGTTATAAAAATGGTTGTACGATTTATTATAAATACGAATAAATTCTTAAAAATTTTAGTGAAAAATAAATTTATTGTTGATACAAT